CTTTATTTTAATATAAAAATAAAAATTATTTCTTAATAAAATTATAAATTTTAATATAAAGAGAAAATTTCAATTTTTATTATATTTTATTAATAAATTTAGCTTCTAAGTTATTACTTTTAATTATCACTATATATATTTAATTAGTAAATTATTATTTTTATTATTATTATTTATATTCTTTTATTTTTTATATTTTAATTAATAATAAGTATTTTTCAGAAGTATTACTTCTATTTCTTATTTAAGTAATTATATTTTAATAATTTATATAATATTAAATTATTATTTAAAAATATTCTATTTTATTCTGTAATTTAACTATCAATAAAATAAATATAAATTTATAAAATTAAATTAAATCTATTTATTTTTAGCTTAACTTTCTATATAAATATCTTACTAAATTTATACTTATAACAAAAAGATTATATTTTCTTAAAATCTCAATACTTAAGTCTTTGAATTTTATGAATATAGATACTATATCAACTTGAGAAAATCACTATAAGTAATGATTCAACTTGATAATAATATCTAATTATTATTTAATTTACTAGATTTAGAAATTAATTATTATTTTAAGTATTAAATATAATTAAATAAATTCTTTTTTTGATTATTAATCTATATTTTTATTTATTTTATTTTAATAATAGATTGTTATTTTGGATTATTTCTGATATTATTCTATATTTTTTATTATTATTTTGTTATTATTTATATTTTCTTTTATTTTAATAATTATGTTATTTTTTATTTTTAAAAAAATTTATTGTGACTTTACAATTAAAACAACTCTTTCAGAAAGTGTCCAAAGAATCTGTAAAAACAATATGTGAAGCTACAGGTCATTGTCTTTATTTTGATAAAAACAAGAAAGATTTATTAGTAAGATTAAAACCTTTTATATGTAGAGAAAATTTCGTATTTTACTATGTTTTATTTTGATAATCCGGTAGGGATGTGTAATATTGTGCTGGCGAAAATCTTCAAAAATCGTAACCGTATTAAGCTTATTAAGCTTGACATGATACCGATACATGATTTCTTGCATTGGCGGTATGAAATATATTTATTATTTAAAAATAAAATAAATAAATAAAAATACAATAAACCACCAATTATTTTAGATGTTTTTGTTTGATGTGTAAAAAAACTAAGAATAATGAAAGACATCCTATTATTATTGTAATTGCAGTTGTTGTATTTATATCTCTAACAGAGTAATAATATAAAGAGGAACATGTGTCACAAATAATAAGATAAATGGATGGCTGGAAAAGTGTAATCTAATAATAAAGAAAGAGTTCTTCGATCATTTTTTGTACATATAGCACAAAAGTCTTTCATTTCAGCCACAGGAATATCTGTGAAAATTGGTGAGCTTTGACAATTTGTGGTTGTGTTGTTATTTTACTTAATACCTACGATCTTTGAATTTAAACTGATTAGATATCCAATAATAAAAGTCAAATTGATGTTATGCAAACATTGGTTAATATAAAGTAGAAAGACAAACCTCGTCCGTCCATGTGTTCCTCCTCTTCCCGAGGTCTCTTCATCCCATGTGGTACATCATAAACTCTATCATAATTATCACATTTATATAATCCTTTTTATATGTAATATTAAGATGGGTATAATGCAAAGAATCATCTAAAATTTACCTTTGACCTCGTGGTGCTACAGGGACCTCTTCGTTAACGTAACCTTGTTCAGGAAAGAATGCTGGATTGAAATGTGGTGCAGGAAATCCAGGACCTGTCGGAGCTAAAATGGACAAGAAGTTGAGTGCTATATATCTTCCAACATAAACCATTATTAAGAGCAAACGTACCACCACCAAACCCTCCCATAAACTCATCTCCATAGACGCCACGCATAGCACCTCGTCCGGGCATCATACCACGACGTATGGGACCTGGTTGTCCGCGCATACCCATCATTCCGCCTCGCCCCATCATAGGATTCATAGGAGCAAAAGAAGGATCTGTACCGCCAAATCCGTTCATGTATCCACGATTAGCACCAGGGAAAGCCCCATATGGAGAAATGGGCGGTGGGAAAAAATCTCGAGGACCTGGAGCCATCGGATTAGGGCGAAAAGCTCCACGATTGAATTCGAAACCAGGAGGACGCACTGCAGATGGACGAGCAGGTAAACTGGCTGCTCCTCTGCTCACTGAGGTAGCAGCTGCTGATTGTGTTTGATGTGCTTGTCGGGTTGCTTTTGGCGGTGGTTCTAATAAATAATTTATCATTTGGCTCAGTTTTTTCATAATTCATGTTTAAGAAAAATAATTTACCTTTAGGGACGGTTTTGAAAGGATTTCCATTATCGGCACTTGTGAAATTCACGACACATTTCTTCCCAGTTACTTCTCTAGGTAATATTAAATTTTGGATGTTAATTTTCCAAAGTCATCTATTATTAACAAGAAAATAAATAAACCCATAATATCTTCAGTTACATAATTTCTAATCTTTCTTTGACTTTTGATGCGGCTTCCGGTGAAGTGAATTCGACATAAGCAACACTATTGATGAAATAGAAGAATATTGTTAACGATAAAAAGAAGCGTTTACGCTTTTTTTTAATACTCCTAATAAATACCCTCTTGATTTTCCATTGACTTTGTGTTCATAGAATGTGATCTCTTTCAATTCATTAGTCACTCCAGCATCACGAGCAATTGTTCGAAGATCTTCGTCAGTTGTCCACTTTGAAAATAAGCGAATTAAGAATAATTGCAATGATAATATTAAAAAATGAAATATTGAAGCAATTTCTTCAGAATGAATAAAGAATGAGCTTTTACCCAATTGAGTTCACCAAGATATAAAGCTTTGGTTGCGTTCGATTGCACTTTATGTTCAATTGGTAATGAAGCCTGAAAATTAACCGCCGCGGGAGATATACCGCGTCGCTCTACTCTTGATTCACCTATTTTTTAATTGATACATGCTCGATTTGATTAATTCGCTTGGCGGAATGAATTTGCACCACCATATTATTTCGTGTACGGTATGGTGCAGTAAATGCGGCCGATATTTTCATAAAGACACTTTATTATTTAACAACGACGATGTTGTGATAATTCTTCCTATACCTTCAACAGCGTTTATAGACGATGATGTCCCTTCTTCCTCTTTGATCTCAAATTCCTGCATAAAACGACATTATAATTTTAAACAAGAAGTTGATAAGAACATTATTCGCATATAAATAAGAAAAATAATTTGTGTTGGAAAAGAAAATAGTGATTTATTTTTTTTTCTTGAGTGTCTCCGCGAATTGATGATGTTATGATGACGATTACAATCTTTGTGTGAATTAATTGCTTTGTATCTCTTATCTTTTTGTTAATAATAATATTAATAATACTGCTATTATTACCCATCATCAACATCATCAACATCATCAATATCATCAACTTCATCATTATTATGATTTTTGTACATTTCAATAACTGTTCGAAATTACACTTTGTTTTGCTTTGGCTTTTGAAGCATATCATTAATAAAATTTAACAACTAATATCGTGAAATAATAAGACAAAAAAAAGCAATAATCCTAATAGATCTGCCACTTAACAGTTGAACAGCGCAGCTTCAAATATTATTGTTATATCATTAATACTTGCTGCTGCGCTGTAAAGTAACTACGAACCTTTGTGTCAACCTCCCCGAAATCTGCGAATAAATCATCGTCGTCGACTTCTTCCTTTACGGAAATATTATTGTTGTTGCTGTTGTTGTTGTTGTTGTTGTTGTTATTATTAGTGTTATTATAATCAAACTCGTTTTCGCGGCGACGTTTTGTCGGACGATCATCTTCATCTCCGAGTATCTCATCATACAAGTCATCATGCTTTGTTGGATAAGGACAAGAGGCAGACACATAATAAGGATTCATGAGAAAGGATGAAAGATCAATGATAAGTAAATCATAATAAAATCGAGTAAATTCCATATCATTCAAAATACATACAGTGCCTTCATTTGCGCCGAAACTTTCTTCGCCATAGAGATCGAATCCGTCGTCATCCATTGATGTCAACAATATTCAAAAAAATACTCAAAAATAATAAACAACGTAATGCTTATACTGTTTGAATTTGCTTTTGATCTCAAATTACTATTTGAAGTTTCAAATATATATGTATATATATGTATATGTAAACGAGTTATCTAGTAATAGAGACGATAGAGGCGATTTGACATAGTTTGTTGGTTAGCTCTCTTATACACATATATTATTTTCTCTTCATTTATTGAATCGTTACGGGATCTATTGTTAGATATTATGTGCTTGACCTAATTCGGAAGTTGATATGCGCAGACGGGAGAATTGGCTTTCGCGAGATTCAAAGAAAAAGCAGATGTTCAATGACACTCTTCTTGATCAAGCAATCTCCCAAGAATTACCGAATACCATAAATTTAAGAGAAAAATAAAGAAAACCAGAAACATACAAATTTATTTTCTGTTTACAAAAGAGTACATACTTTTTTGCGTGCCGATGAATAACAACTGTGTAAGGTAGTTTACAAATTGCCAAAATGTTACAAAAAAAAAAAGGTAGGTAGATGTAGAGTAAGGTATACAGACACACCCACAATCAGTTAACAAAGAAAATACTCAAGAGGAAAGAAGAAAGAGTACACATACAACTCGTTATAATCTCGTCTAAACAAAATAATAAAGTTCTTTTATAAGCCAGATAGAATAGGAAGGTTCAGTGGCCGATGATCGTGATTCTACAACTTCTCTTTTATGGATGTGCATGCAATGATTGGTCGAACAAATACTACATGTATTGGCTAATTTTATCTATGCTAGATATTTATCGTTATATTTCAATTCATCTGATACGTGAGTTGATTAAAACGCGAAATGAATTCGTATTCAAATCTTGATAGAGCTGATGCCGAGAGCGTTACGGTTTGGCTTACTTCATTTTTGGCTAACCCAAATTGTGAGTTATACTCTTATCACAGCGTCTTACGTTAATTTATGAAGTAATTCTCAAATTGAATCATATTTCTTTGAATAGCATTGGCTTTGCTTAGTCCAACAACTAAATCTAATTTAGTAAATTCTCTTCTCGAAGACCTCGCCGAAAATGGGGTTCAAGAAGAATGGAATGATAAAGGTAGGGTGAACTAGCTTGTTGAAAGCAAATCTAATTGGTTTTTAATCGAAAAAAAATCGAACAATATTTTGTAATCTGCCTAAACTCTTAAAGTGTCACTTCGTCAGCACGATTACTGGCCTTACAAACGTTAAAAACGTTGGGGCGTGATCCAATTGGATGTGATCTCATGTTTTCTGATTCGGTTTGTTATTTGTTGATAAGAATGATTGATTGATGAAAACTCATCTTTGATGGTAATTGATAGTTATTGTTTTTTCGTAGGGGTTTCATACTCTTATGGCTCACGCTCATATCCTTCAAGATTTCGGAGAATTAGTTGATACTCCTGTCTCGCAAGAAGCATTAATATGCATCGCAAATGCGCTTCTAATGAAAGAAGATACACGTGACTTGTTCGAAAAGCACAAAGGCCTGCCTAACTCGATCTATCGACTTAGGGTATGCATGTATTAACGCTGACGTGTATGTTTTCTTATTTGAAATGGATCTATACTAAAAGAATACCGTAATCTCAATTATATAGCAAGAAATTCTTTCGATAAATTCGCAATTTCTTTTTTCTCGTATTCTCTTTCTTATGACGGTAAAACCATGTATTGCTGTTAAACAGTTGATCGATGAACTTGATATAATTGATCTTTTGACCAAAGTATGTTATTAAACTCGTTGAAACTTTGTGGATATCTAATATTTTTGTGAATTTGATAATTAATCATTGAAATTCTTTTTTTCTCAAAAGAGCATATCAACTCATGTCAACGAAATATCTTCTCCGGACGCAAGCCAAGAATTCACCACACCATTCACGCGAGAAATGGTGTTAAATGAACAACTAAAATTAATTTTTAATTTAATGGTAAACGAACCTAAATTAGATCGTGATGATGAGAAGAACAAAGAACCTGTTATCACCTCAAAATTCAACAAGTACCTTTATATTTTTCATTGCATGACATAAATAACAAGTTGAATTAAACTATTAACATTCGATTCATACTTCACATCTCTATCATTCATTAGATTACTTTATCCAATCATTCAAATAATAACAAAAATTACGCTGCCCTCGCCTTTGCCACTTGCACCGCCACATTCTCATGCGATTCACGCGCTTTTAAATTTTCCGATTGAACAATGCAAATCGATTTTGTTTCCGCCCGAGCCACCAAATGAACAATATTTGTTAGTTGAAATACTGTTAAATATTTTTCAAGAAATGATCTTCATCGCCATAAAGGGTGACCCTGATTCCGATACTGATCATCAAACAAATTACCGTGTGGACTTTGACGAAGTGATAACACCTTTGGTAGTGTTATTGAAAAAGTTTTGCGAAGAAGACCAAACGGCTAAAGCAAAAATAAAAAATAAACTATTGCCCGATGACATGTGTGTAACCATACTGTTATTAATAAAGAAAGAAACTATAATTGGGTTTATCATTGTTATTTTTTATATTCACATTAATTTTATTATCTCGTAGTGACCGTTCTAAGCCATTAGAGAAAGGAGAAACATTATCTGCGCGACTTATTAGATTAATGACGTCAATCATGTTTCCTAATCTACGAGATAATGTCAGCGAATTATTATTCGTAATTTGTAATGAAGATGGTTAGTTTTGTTCCTTTATTTTTTTATTCATTAATTTAATCAATCGCTATATAACTGATGAACTATGTGGCGGACAAAAAATTATAGCACAACTCTTAATTCATCACGTTGGTTACGGAAATGCAGCTGGTTTCCTTATGAAGCGAAATATCCTGATACCGCCGACCAGTTCTAGCAATTTATCAGACGAAACAGGTAAAGCAATTAACCCTATTACCGGCCAATATTACCAAGAGAATGCACCATCACTAGCCGATATGACCGACGAGGAAAAGGAAAGAGAGGCCGAAAAATTATTTGTATTGTTTGAACGTCTCAAAAAAACGGGTGTAATGTCCGTCGTTAATCCGGTTGAACAAGCTATAAATTCTGGAAAATTGGAAGAAATAAACGATGACGATGATTCTTCTTAGCTTAAGGTAGTCTATTTGTTTTTATTTTTAGAATATATATTAATTAATTTTTCTATTAGATTTAAGGTTAACATAGAATTATCGCTTAACTTGTAGTTTTGGTGAATTTAATTTCCATCTGGATTCGAGAAAAAGTTGAGTACAATCAAACCTTGATAAACCAAGTGGTCAGTAGAAAATTTGGTTTGTCGAAAGGAATTTACTACAGTTGTTTGCTGGAATCAACTTCGGCTTATCCAAATTTAATAGTGCTTCGGTTTAACTTATTGATGTTTGTATCAAATAAATGAATTATTACTACTTTTCGTGGTAGATTGCCGGTTGATTTCTTGCTGGTAAAAAAAAATGTATCAAATGATGTCTCATTTTTTTAAAAATTCGTATAGCAGCTATCCAACTCTAAAGATATCAATAATGAATTATGTTTCGGGTTTCTTGAAGAGGTTTATTTTAAATATAACGACTTGATCAACGGTACCAACCCCAACACCCCGCATTCTTCAATGCAGTGTAAAATTGTCATTGTCATTCTATTGTGCCGGTAACCACGGTTATTGTGGGCGGTAAAGGTGAATGAATGGTTTTTTAAAGAATGATTGGAAAAGGGGGAAGGAGATGATTTTAATTGTAGATTTCGAGTTTTACGAGTCAAAATTTTTTTTTTGTTTATTGCATTGATTTTTTTGATTTAATTATCAAATCATATTAACCATTTTTGGAAAATATATATATACACACAAATGGTCATTATTTTAAAATTTTACTGAAGAATTGATTTTAAGCCTTGTTTTTAACTTGATTTTCGCATTTGCAGATATACCGACATCATGGTATTTTGTCTCGTTCTAGGTGAAGTTCCTACAAAAATGAAACATTTTGTGGTTGATATCACCAAAAATATTTCGACCATTTCGCATCTTCAGTCCGCCATCAAGAAGGTGATGGAACCTGATTTGGATCATTTCGCCCCCTAATGTTAAATGCACAAGATGAGCTAATACTTAATAACGGTGAATCCGTGATAGAGGAATCATAAAAGATCACGATGAATTTTGTAAAATTTCTACGTCTCCGTAAATCTCCAGATGGAATAATCTATGGAACATCAACACAGGATATATTAATAAAGTCATACTTGCAGATGATTGAAAAGATTGAATATCGCTTCGCTATACTTAGCTTTCTATATAACTCGTCGGTATTCCCCAGTAGATATCATCTATGAATAGCTATTCCGAAACTATTCCCGTGCTCTTCGTATCAAACCAATCGAGCGCGTAATGGAAATTTCTGATCTACGACATGAATACCCACAAGATAGCTTTTATATTGCCGATTCCGTAATTCCTGCTCCATGGAAAACGAGATTCACATTTCTAGTTACGACACCAAAAAGTGGCCGATGGCATGAATTTGTAAAGAGACGTGTTAGGAAATATTACGCACCCATTTGGACGGAGGAAGAAATTTGTGATGTTTAGAATATAAAGTATAAGAATAAGATATCTGAGAATCGAGTCAAGGCGTTGATTACGCGGTGGGGATGTATACCAAGACGAATTTTTGATGAATATGATGATGAACCGAACGTTGATGATGTAGTCTCTCAATGTGATGCTTATGCTTACCTTAAAAATGAATGGGTAGATTTAAGTGACAATTATTCCGGAAAGCCATACATCTTATTCCTAATTCTGATTATACAAACAAAAAAATATGTTCCCCTTCAACAGAAATATGTAAGCCTTTGTACAGTCACTATAAATTAAAATCACTCAAAGGACACGATTGTTAACATAATCCGAAATTTTGCAAGAGGTGCTGGTGGTATCTTAGCTCGCAAATTCTTTGAAATGATGGCACATGATATCTTCCGAAAAGGTGGTGATTTTACTGTGCGACGCTTAAGCAAAGATGGTATTAAACAGCCCGAGGAAGAGCTTCATCTTCAAAATCTGGCGCACAAACAATTTCTTGATATTGATGAAATAGCTCTAGGGTATTATAACAAATGACAATTGCAGAAACGCATGATATCAAGGTAAACATTGGTCTTTATATTAGCTATGTATCTACTATTACAAACTGAATATGTTCATGTTATGCAGGTAAACAGTCTTAGAAAATTGGAAAATCATCTGAAAGGTCTACCGATCCATTTATATTTCGTTGTTCCGAATATAAATAATTTTCGTTTGCAGAAGTATATTACATTGGGAAACACAGAATATTTAGGATGGCATTTAACTCATACTGAATGGATTAGGGATAATGTGATTCAATATGTTCTCCTGATCAATTTTTAATTAGATAGCTTATTGAATACAAGGAATCTTTATCTCAGAACTAAGATTAATATAAGGAAAACTTTAATTTTTTATCGTAGCAATCGTATTGTTCTTGTAAATCGCGTTCCTTTTTTTCCATTTCGTTTTCCTCTTTACTTCTTTTTTTGACCTTGTATTAAAAACGTGAATTGTAAAATTTTAGAATTAGTTTTTCTGAACTACTAGTCCTTGAGTGGCTGTTAAAAATTACGAGAATACAGTCAACCCTTAGATGAGCTCACGTTTATTTAACATGCTTTGTAAATCGACCTGATCGCCCAGACTCCATTGCGAGAAATAATATTTAAGCGCGCATTATAATGCGCATAAGAGATGGTGAATTTGATGAAGATTAAGATCTATTGATTTAGAATAAGAATCAATAACGACGCACTAATAGTTCCTTTCCTGAATAAATTGGTATTCCTTTCCACAACTCGCAAGATCTTCAGATGACCTCTTGCTGGTTGCAGAAAATATCATAAATCATGCGTCAAAAAAATGTGTGGTTAATTTGCGTTTTTTATCACAATCCCTCTCAAACGCCGCCAAAATTCTCGTTATAAAACGTAAACAATCTTTCGATTTCTTTTTAGATTTAAAGAAAATGTTTTATACAAAAAAGTTTTTGAATCTTAGAAAAAATATTTTTGCATTTGCACTTAAAAAGGGGAGGTTTAAGAATGATGATAAATGCTAGAGATGATGTGGTGATAATGGGAATCATAAAACCTATTTACAAAAATAAAAAACTTGTGTGTGCGTGTGTATTTAGGGAATCGATCGACGAGGAGAGGGTGATAAAATAAAAGGGTATATATATATATGTGTGTGTATGTAAAAAATGTACAACATAATCATATTCCAAATTGGAAAAAAAAATATGATGGCAACACATGAAGTTTAAAACGAAAGATTGGAAAAAGCTATTAAAATCATATTTTGTGTATTAACGCATCAAAAAAAAAGTGGATTTGATACGTTCCATAGACCAACCAAGAAAAGGGAGTGTAAGGAAAAAAGAAACAAGCAGCAAAATATAGCTATATAATGTTTATAGTTATTGATGATGATCATGAACAGGCGGACAAACTTAAAGAAAAAATATGTGAAGAAATTCTATATTTCGTATAATACGAAAATGGACCAAATTATCTCAATTCGTTCAATATAACGTCAACATTCATGGCAGCGATACCTTGCCTTGGGAATATTTCATCCATCAAGACATTTTGTACGGTCTCGCTTCCATCAAAACAACATTCTTTTACGACGGTAATTCTAAAGTCCATATCACAAGCAGATCGTGTAGTGGAGAGTATTACACCACCCGTGTTAATGCCCGCGAGTACAATATGCTTGATGTTACGTGATTCAAGGATCATTTTAAGATCCGTATTATAGAATGCATCTAGGCGGCGTTTCTATTAGAAAATAAGATTTAGATTTATATATATATATACACACACACACATTAATAAATAACTTTTAAAAAGAAACAACGATTAATAATTCTTACTTTAATTACAATGTCGTCCTATAAAAAATTTAGCTCGGTAAGTCTATCATCCCTTCTCATTAATTAAAATATATCGATTCCTTCATATTTTCTCACCTCAGTTTCTGCAGGCACCAATCCATCAATGAATTCAGCACCTTTGGTTCCTTCAATGAGGCGCCCATATAATTTCAACAATACGAAATTTTGATTGTTTGGGGAAACCTCAGGATACCCAGGGCGGAACTTTTCATCATGTAAAATGAAAATCAGTTATTTTTGAGCTGTGGATCACGAATTAAGCGATTAAGCCATTAATCCACACTTACTGAAGTACCGATAGAAACACTCGTGATACTATTTCGCTTTTGCCTTGCTTGATGAACTGCTCGAAAGAGTTGTCGAGAGCGTGACAAAAATTGATTAAGTGTTTGACTATTCTGATTCCTAGATCGATTATTATTAACATATGAATTAGCATAGACAAAAAACTAAATATGATAACTAACGATAAACGCACATTCCGATAATATCATTCTGATAATCGCAAAACAGAAAACTGCATAAAGAAAAATATTAATAAATTTTTATTCGAATCGGTTATTGAAATAAAAATAAAAGATAAAATGTACTTACGCGGTATTTTCAATTGAAAAATTCGGAGTTATGGAGCTTGGGATTGGATATATTCGGGAAGGAGAGTAAGAAGTTCCCATGGGTGTTGGGTGAGAAGCTCCATAAGGAATGAAAGGGGAAGGTGTGCTGGTCCCTAGAGAGAGTGTATTGGTTTGATTCGCTTTTGAGTTGGTGTGTGGATATGTTGTCGGGAACTTTATTTTTCAGAGCGAAAAATAATTTGTGCATAAATTGTGACATTTAAGAAAAGGCGCGAGATGGGATAAATTCATCATGTCACAAAATTGAATATTTTGTGAGAATTCAGAAACATTTAAAGATTACGTGATATTTAAAATTTTTCGTTCTTAAATAAAATTTGCAACAGAAATTACTCTAACCTCCATTACTCACCAAATTCACATAAGAGTGTTCGGCAGGCGACAACACGGAAGTACCAGGAATGGTAGGTTGTTGATTGACCTGCAACGAAACATCTCCCGCTCCTGGACTTTCGCCACTACGAAACTGATGACGAAGTTTAAACTTGGATATCCACCCGTTCGACGCCTGGAACTCGTTTCTAATTCCATAAGTTTGGGCGATTTCCAAAGCTTTCTCCTGTAGTTGCATATCGCTAACAGCTGCACCTTCCCCAAGAACCATATCTAACCAGGTTGCCAACGATTCCTCTATTTGTGGAAATTTGGGGGATTTTTGGGTTTTCTGTTTGGCATTGTTGGAATTTGGATCGATTGCCAGCCACTTTTCGCGATTTTTAAGAATTTTTGTGATAGTACTCCTATCAAGCCCGTACTCGCGAGCAAGGTCTTCGTCCCGGAGTTTTGCATTATCGCGTTTCTTGATGCAAATGTTACGCTTGGTAAGCGCGGTAATAGGGACTCGTTTCTTCTTAGGTTTCGGCTCTTGGGGCATTGGTGTCGAAGTATGGCAAAAAGAAGACAATGTGAAGAAAAATAGAGTTTAAGTAAAGTTTGAGAGAGACCTGTATAGTTTTGATTTCGCGAAAGTCACCTGGCACTGTTTTTGTAAGTGTGTGGCCAGTGTCTATGTTATTCCGTTGTCTGTGAGTGTGGCCAAGTAACAAATTTTTTTGATGTGGCCTATTAATTTGGCCAGAATTATTGAGTTGGTCTAATTATGACTATAAAGCTTTAGAATAACCATTAATTATGCTAACAAATTTCGGCGGTGCTATGGGCTTGTACATAGATACCAAGTACACAAAGCAAATAATTTAAATGTTCGAATGCTTGTATTACTAACTCGTGCAATTTTTTCTTAAGAAGCCACACAATAATCTAATAAGTATTGTGTATTTATGCCAAGTATGAAACCTGTTATATACTTCCTTCATTCTTATATTTTATCGTTATCGAAAAATAAAGTTCATTTCTGAGCATATTCTGATAAGCCTCACACAGCTTCATCAAATTATCCAAAGTCATTTTGAAGTTACCTAAATTAACCCTTTTGTAAATTTTGTGAAACTCGGCAAGTTTTTTTTAAACGAATTTTGCCGATTTTTTTTTGGGCTGCGATTTAACATTTCCCAATCGAAGAAAACTACACGAGTCATTTCACATTGTTTATACACATTATGAAACTATTTAGAATAGGTTATGCGAGTACTAGCAGCTACGAATGGTTTCTGAATTCTGTTTTATTTGATCACTAATCGACTACAGATTTCTTTTCCCTCTGGCCAAGAATGATCGCAGTGATTATTTCAAAATTTTGCGAAGTATGTTTGCAGCTATTCTTTCCAGGAGTAAGAATTTGACAATGGCCTAGTGCCTAACAAACGAAGAATGTGATTGTAAAGTTTAAGATCAGAATTTTTATAATTAGAAAAAATAGATATTAAAAGATTTTAGTAGAGAAATTAATTTATGAATACATATCTTTTGTATATGTAAAATAATAAAGCTGCAAGAAGAATCTTTTATAGTAACATTAACACTTAAAATCAGTTATTATTAAACTTATAAAAAAATCTTTATATAAGAATTACTTTATAAAATAATTTTTTAAAATTTTTATGGTTCAATTTAAAGATAAAGTGAAGAACAGCATAAGATATCCAATATCGCGCCAAAATGTCGATTTTTTATTATAGATCTTATATATAATAATTGAACTGACCAATTAGACGTTATTATTTTTTTAATTGGTAAAAAGTTTTAAACTTCTTAAAAAACAAATAAAATAAAAAATCCTCTTACAGAATGATGATTTTATTAACGAATTATAAATCTATAAGAGAATTTTTTATTTTTTTTTCTTTTAAAGTTATAATAAATTAAATTCTTCATTATATATTAAATATTTGATAATTAGAAATATATAGTATATAATGATTATCATAATTATGAAATAATCAGAGAGTTAATTTTATTAATAAAAAAAACATATAAAAATTGAAATTTTCTTATATTAAAATTTATAATTTTATTAAAAAGTTATAATTTAATCTATATTTTTAAATTTGTTCTAAAAGAGTTATTTTAATTGCAAAGTTATCACAAAATTTTTTCTAATTAATTTTATTTTTAATTAAAAAAACTTTATATTAACTTTATAATTAGAATAATTTTTTTAGAAAAAATCTAAAAAATCTAAAAAAAATATATATTAACTTATAATTTATGAACTTTATTTTAATATAAAATAAAAATTATTTATTAATAATTTATAAATTTTAATATAAAGAGAAAATTTTAATATTAATATATTTATTCTTTTAATATACAATATTTAATAACTATTATATAATAAAACTTGAGATTTTTTACATTAAAATTTATATTTTTTTCAAATTTTTTCAAATTTTTAAAAAAATTATTTATATATAGTAATAATTATAATTAATATAATACTTATATTTTTTATTTATTATAATTATTAAAATATATTATATTATTTCAGAAATAAATATCATCTAGAAATAAATATTATTTTTTATTTAGATTAAAATATAAAAAAATTATAAATAAGTATTATTATAAATAATTATTAATTTAAAAAATAAATATTATATATTTATTATATATATTAGTAATTTATAATTTCTAAAAGATTATAAACTACTTAAATTATATTACAATATACTTAGATATATGATATAATTCAATTTTTAAATTACATTCAAAAATATTATATTTTATTTTTTATATCATATATAAATTATTATATATCAGCTTGATAATTATAATTAATTTTTATTATCAAATTATATATAATATAATTTATATCAGAATAATATTTCTAATTAATTTTAAATTTAAGATATTTATAAATTTATATTATAATAAACTAATTAACTTTCTTTATAATCTTTTTAAAAAATTAAATTTAATAATAATTTTATAAATATTAAATTAGTAATTATAGCTAATTTTTATTATTAAATTATATAAAATATTTAATAATATACTAAATTATGTATTATTATTTATAAATCTAATATAAGAATTATATTTAAACTTAATATAATCTTAGCTTTCTGATTAATTTCTTTATAAATATTAGAGTTAAAATATATAATATTAAAATAATAATTATAATTTTTATATAATATATTTAATATTAATCAAGAATAAAATATATAATACTAAATTATAATATACTTAAGTTAAATATTATTCAAGAATAAGATATATAATATCAAATTATTAATAGTTATTAGCTTTATATAATTTATTTAAATATTATTTAATAATAAGATATATAGTATTAAATCATTATTTCTACTTAATAATAACTTAAAATATTATAATAAATATATTTATTTTTTATTTTATATAATGAAAAAAATAATTAAAATATAGTAATAATGTAGTAAATATTAATATAAAAAATTCTTAATATGAAAAAATATATTAAATTAGTAATCTGTACTTTTTTTAATATATTTAATTAAATTGAATTAGTTTTTAGCTATTAATAAAAATTATACAGATTGCTATTTCAAAAATTAAGTATAATATATTTCTAGTTTCTAGAAATTTTTTTATAAGTAAATATTAAATTATATATAAATAAATTATTATTTTATTATATTTATATATTTTACTATCTTATTATATTTATTATTTCAAAAATTTAACTATATCTATATAGATTACTATTCTATTATATTTATATAGATTATTATTTCAAAAATTTAATCATATTTATATGAAATACTAATTTATTATATTTATATACTTTATTATCTTATTAAATCTATATAAATTACTATCTCAAAATTTTAATAAAGATTCATTGATAAAAATTTATTAAAATTATATAATATAAAAATAATTAACTTATTTTATTTTATATATTAGAAATACTTATATAAAATGTAAAATAATTAATTTTTTTGAGATTAAATAGCAAAATATTATTTTTTTAAATTAAATTTTTTCTTATATTTATTATAAAAAATAATAAAAATAATAATTAAAAATATTGAATATTCTTCTTAAAGAATATTTAAAATATAATTTTATTATTTTATCTTCTTATTATTAATTATTTTTTTTAAATAATATAAATAATATTTATATTTTATACTATTATTTATATCTAGAATAATTAATTCTTTATTACTTTAAAAAAATTTTATAAGTTTTGATTTTATATTATTTTTAATTTTTTATTAATTTGATTTAACAAAATTAGTTTTATTAATATTATCTTGAGAATTTATTTTTATATAATATCTATTTTAAGTATTTTTAAGAATTAATAAATTTATTTAACTTATCTTTTATTTTTTCTTCATTATTTAATTTATATATTTTATAACTAATTACTTTTTCTCTCTAACTTTTATATATACTTTAATATTATAAATCATATAATTATAATAATATATATATTAATAAAAATAATATTAAAATACTTATTATAATAGAGATTACTTCTATTTTTTCTACTAGAATCTAAGAATATAATTTAATTAATAAGAATATATACAGTAATAATATAACCTTCTAGTTACTTAGTATAATATATCCAGATAATTCACAAAGAAAAGTCAGGATATAGTATTATATCAGAAAAAT